AGAGAGAGAGAGAGAGATAGAGAGAGATTGTACGAGACGCAGGGAGGAAAGAGAGATCCTTTACGTTCGTAGGAAAGGCTTCGAGTCGCACTTGAAAGAATAGATTATGTACATCGTACTACGTGTATCGGTCTTTTTTTCTTTTTTCTTTTTTTTTTTTACCATATTTCCCCCTTTTCTTTCCCTCCCTCTTAAATTTCTCATCTCCTAGCGTTTTTCTTTCTGTCATTTTTATATATTTCTCATTGTATTATTATTATTATTATTATCTTATTTTTTTTTCATATAATATTTTCGCACATCGAACGAAATCGATCCAATAAAAAGAGAACGACGTTTTGTTTCCCGGCACACGCTAGGGAATTTTTCTTTTTTACTTTTTTTTTTCTTTTTCTTTCCTCTCCTCTCCTATCTAGATTTGTCTTCGCGTTTTTACTTTCGTTTACGCTTAGTTTCTTTTCGTCTCGTTAACAAGGTGAAGAGAGACGGGGACGGGGGGTAAGGGCGGTTCGGTAGAAGGGACGAGGGTTTGGGAAAAAATAGTTTGAGAAACTTTTGACCCCTTTCGAGTTCGTTGTCGCGAACGAAGATGATCTGGGATCAGAGAAATAGCACGTTCGGTAATACTACGCTTTTCCCTCGAAACTCCTCGGATTGAGTTACCATCGCACACTACCTACATACTCACCCCCCGATTTGCCCCCCTACTATCTACCTCCCACCCACTTCCTCCTGCTCCTCATCCTCATCCTCCTCTTTCTCTCACACTGCCGAATTCACCGAGAGCTTTTCTTGTGAAATCGGAGCTTCGATGCTTTTTATCTCGGTAGAACACGGAACATGTTTGAAAACAAAGTAGCCTTCCCCCCCCTCCAACTCGAGCCATCAACCATCAACCACCTCCACCGCCTTCTACTTCACCCACCCACTATTTTCCTCGAGTATCTCGAAGCTATTACAGTCCAAAACTTTATTTTCTACATTGTCTATGTGCAAAAAGAATAAATGCGATATAGTTCATGAATGCATCCCATAATTAATAAGTACATTTCATAAATGTTTTTCTTTTTTCTTTTCACCTTCTGTCGTTTGTTCTTTCTTTTTTCTTTTCTCTTTTAATTTTATTTCACCTAATTTTGTCCCTCTTATATGATCGAGATTTTTTTTTTTCAAAATCTTTCATATCCAAGTTGTAATAATGAATGGAAATAAAAAGTATATGAGAAATCTAAGCTTAGTTAAATGTTCCCAGATAATTTTCAACTATTAATTTCGGTCCTTCATTTTATAAATAAATAAATGTTTTAACGTAAACGACATATTCCTTCATTATTTAAACTATAATTCTCGATTTAAATTGTCTTCTTATTAACACGAAGTTGTAATATATTCGTTGCAACATCTGTAATTCATTTTTTGTTTTACAATTATAAGGAGAAATTTTTTGAAAAGGAACTGTTTTTTTTTTTCTAACCCATACCGCTCTACATATTCTTTTTGTTTGTCTATTTTGTTGTTGTTGTTTTCTCTTGTTGTTTTATACATCATGGGAGAGCATATCTCGTATCAAATATCCCGCGTATTTATATGGTTCACGGAACTACGCCGGAGTAGGTGTATCTTGTTGCTGTTCTGCCAGTAGCAAGCAGTATCCCTTTGTAATCTTATTTAGCATCCCCCAACTGTGTGTAGAAGTAGATAAAAATCTCTCTGTCTCTCTCTCTCTCTCTTTCTCTCTTTAGTTTTACTCTATTTTCTCGTCTTTCCAACGAGAAAAGAAAAAGAGAAGAGAGAGAGAAAGATAGATAACATGTTCGCTTTCAGAAAAGAAACATTCGCGTATTTCTGGTATACGGAAAAGCGCGGTATAATCCCTTGAATCACGTAGTACTCTAAAAACAAGATGGCGACGATTTCTTTCCGTCTCATGCGAAAAAGAAAACATGAGAGAGAAAGAGAGAAACGAGTAATACATGTTTTTTTTTCTTTTTTTAAAGATCGGAGAGAACCTTTAAATATTTGTCGATTAATCTGTTCGAAAGAATTCTAAATACAAGATGGCGACTGTTTGCCCTTTTTACATAGAAGAGAAAAAAAGAAGAAGAAGAAGACGAAAATACGAAAGTAAAAGAAATGAATGATATCATTCGTTGTTTTTAAAAGATAAGAAAATGTTAAATATTGTCTATTAATTAATAAAGATTAACCCTCCTAAAACCAAGATGGCAGAGATTATATCTTTTTTTTTTCGGAAGAAAAAAGAAGAAGAAAAAGAATGAGATGAAGAAGAAGATAATAAAGAAAAGAAATGAGGAAAGGATGATCCCTTGTTGTTGTTAAGGATAAAAACATCTTAGACATTATTAATTGACCAATTAAGAGGAAAACTTTAAAAACAAAATGGTAGCCATATTCTGAAGACCAAATTATGCTAGAAGGAAGGATAAATGATATTTGATTGT